AGCGTTCTCTTCGAAGAGCATGCGGTCCTCACATTCGAGGAAACTGTCCGCACTTCCGAAGCGCTGTTACAAATTGACTGACGTTCTAAAATAGTGCTGTGGAACAGTAAATAACAAAACTTGTTTTTCATACACAAGAAAGTGCGGCTCCCTTCGGCACTCGGACTGTAGAAAGCTATAGACTACTACCAGCGCTATAAAAGTGATGCTCAGCGGCCAGACCTCAAAATTGAAGACTGCGTTTTGCTTGAGAATCTCTATATCTCCACGAACGCACGAATTCCTTTCGCGATTCTATCGGTCCATCGTTGCTGTTATCATAGCTCATCACTGTCGCGGATGCTCTTTGTGTTCGCTTTTAACAGACTCGTCTTCCTTACAGGGGTGGGTGCTTGTTTACATAGCATTAAAAAGTATGGTTGAAAAACTTTTATCACTTCTTCCTAGATGGTGCCCACGTAGAGCTGCATAAATGAAAGTCTTCCAACGAACAAGATGATACCACCTTCGGGCAGAATTTTTCGCTTGCAATATGTTGAAGAGCGTTTGATGCCATGAATCGTTGAGCACCTCTCTCTTCGAAGCCTCTAAAGCCCATCTTGAGCGAAGGCTCAAAATTCTTTTTTTCTATGCAAATGGAGATCCACCATTATTTGGTCGACGAACGGCGAGAATAAGTCTCTTTGTAAACACTTTCGTTGCTAAAATGTTAGGAAGCTCTGTAGATTTCGGATATTGAACAAAAAGTCCAGCGCTCGAGTTGCAATTTGCGGAAGTGCAAAACTAGCGCATGCATCAAGGACTTGAACCTCGATGCTATGCCCTCCAGTCCACCATCCTAATAGCTGCGCCACCGTTGCACAGTTGTGGGCTTTGGTGAATTACATTAAGTTTTTGGCACAGTGGTATAGCACTGGGAGACATCGGTTCCGTAACTTTGTTCCCAAAAATCGCTTGACAGATGTGGAACGCAGATTTGAGACCAGCGTTCAAAACCACCCACGGCGTGCATACATCTTATCTCGAATGGCCACTGCGACCAAGTATCCTTCCCTTGTAAGAAACATTGAAAACGATGTTTTATAGGAAATTTTTTCTGACTCCAAGACAGATGATCCCTTATCCCAACAACCCGATGCCGTAATGAGGAATTGAAATGCATCCCATGCTTCAGATAAGAGGGACCGAATGATTCCTTCTATGAGGGTGTCCACACGCCGCACTTTTCACCCACCACCCACCGCAACGCAGTGGGTGGTAGGCCAGCGGGGGGGGAGGGGAAGGGTTAGATTTTTCCAGTATTTAATTATGTGCTTCGATGCAAAGTTTCGATAATTTCCAGTTATGCGAGTTTCAGATTGAACAGCTTGCCGCTTTGCGTTTGAAGCTGTGGTTAGGTAGCTGTCGTGGAACTGCCCCCTCGCCCTTGGGATGGCGGCCTCCTTGTTGAGTCCAATTACCTGTCCGCAGAGGTCGCGAATGAGTTGGTTCTTTACGCGTTAAGTTGCACGCGGCGAGTCCCTATACTTTACGTCTAACCAGGGAAGGATCCCAAGTCGAAGTGGCCATTTGGAATGAGAGCTACACTGCTAGACGTGTTTTTGGCTGCTGAGTTCAGATCTGCACTCCAAATTTGCCGAGCGTTTCTCTGAACGGGGTTATGGGGGTGGTTCCAGGGAGCTTAACATGAGAAAACTTAAATTACATGGATG